AGACCACCAGTTGCCAGAAATGTTTACATATTGCACATTTAAGCGAACCAAATTTGGTTCAACTACCAGCAACTTTAAATCAATCATATATTTGCATTTAAATCCATAATATGTAACATTTCCACATTAAAATGTGTAAAAACAATATACCTATATCAATCATATCTTTTATATATTGTTGAGTTGTTTACTGATGTTATCCCAAATGTTTACAACATATTCAAACTCAGACAAATTCATAATTTTATTCCGGTAACAGTGTGTTTCACCAGTCGCCTCTTTGAGCATGTATCAGCATTGTGGTTGTCTGCCAGAAGCTCTCATAAATTGACTTTTTTTATCCAGTTTTATGATACACTATTTAGAGCTTGGTCGGGTTTAACAATATATTTTATGTGGATGAAGGATTTTAGTCAGTGGATGTCTGGATCTTAAGTTATCAGTGAAACAAGCTGAGCTAACGTTAGTAGCAGCTCTGGGACTTGTGTGCCAACAGTGTTGGAGAAACACAGATTTTTAAGCAGAAACTGGCTAATTCAGTGTTTGTACCAGTTTTTTTACCAACTGGTTCAGAGCATCTCCAAAACCTCAGCTCTTGTAGGGTGTTCCCAGTCTGCATGTTATTGCTGCTGGGTGCATATCAGCATATAAAAAGGTTTTATTAAGTACAGCGAAGCCTTACAGATGGAGAAAATTCTAATTTCTTACTACACAGCAAATCCAATGGCTTCAGGCTTTCTGAATTTCATGGGTGAAGATGGAAGAAGGGCATTATTAATGGGAATTATTAGTGAAAAATGTCTCTCAGCAGCAATGGCCAGCATGGTCGTGAGGCACATAATGCTGGTGTAAAAAGTATATTATTCATCCTAGAAATGGGATGAGAATTAGAATGAACTGAAAATACTCAATAAATTGACTACAGTGAGTAAACATACTTATTTTTATCTTATAAAGTCTACCGTCACTGTAATCGGCCGCACTTTTATTTACCTTTATGTAACCGTCATGCATATATTTATTATCTCATATCTGAGCCATAAAAGTCAGTTTTTTGTTTCAGGTCCAATGGAAAGGTGACGGATTGAAAAAGGTGAGGTCGCGCATGCGCACAGGCCCCATAAATTGACAGGAGGATGCTGAGCTGCATTCCCATCATTCTGTGAGGAGAGGAGGATCCCCCTGCGCACCCACAACGGAGGAGACGCCGAGCGATAAGAACATATACAAATAATCAACGTTGAGCTTTTTATCTGCCATCATGTCAGCTGGAGGAGATTTGGGGAACCCCCTGAGGAAATTTAAACTTGTATTTTTGGGAGAGCAGAGCGGTGAGTCAGTTCTCGGGGAAGGTTTTGGGTTATCCTCCCCCTTAATGCCAAACATGCGTATATATGATGAAGGCCATGTATGTTAATCCTTGTTGATTTTGAAAGTTTTGGCTGAATCTAGAGGATGTGCCGGGCTGCCTTTGGCTGATTTGACGCCCTCTTGGCACAATCTGTGACTGTAGACAATTTGATTAACCTAGGAAGAAAAAAAAAAAACCCGCAGGCATGTAAACGGCACCCTTGGATAAAACATAACCACTGTGATCACTGAAATATACCTGCTAATTGCACTGAACATATTTGGGGGTTGTTTTCAGCTGTCGCAAATGGTCACAGCTCGCATCATTACCAGGCGGTATGAATTCGGATGTTTTGATGTGCTGCAGTGACCGACAAATAACGCTCAGCCTGTTTTCAGATAACGGGTTTATTATTTCACTCACATCGCTTAATTCTAACATTAACAAACCTTTATTCCATCGCATGACAGTGTCTAAGATTTTCTCCATCACTCACTGGGTTTTATAGAGAAGATAATAAACAGTCCCCCCCCCCCCCCCCC